CAGAAACTCGAGTGCCTTGCTGATCTGCAGCAGTCCCTCTTGGATCTCAAGCTCATCAATTTCGAGCTCGCGCCGCCTCCGAACGCCCTCCGAATCCTCCGTCACATATCGGCTCGAGCGGCCACCAACCCCGCCTGACCGTTCCTGATCATCCTTGTCCTGCAGCAGACTTGCGAGCGACGCCGTCACAGCCTCGGTCACGAACTGCAAGCCTCCACTTCGCGTCTCCTCCACAGGTTCGACGAGCTCGAGCACGCTCGGGTGTCGTAGTTTGGCAAGACTCGAGGCCTCCTTCTTCAGACGCTCGACAACCTCCTCGGTCGTGCGCTTGAACGCGCTGGCACTGCTGCGGCTCAGCGAGTTGCCATGGCTGTCGAGGGACTTCTTGTCGAAGACAAAGACGCTGTAGGCCTTGCCGGTGGACTTCTTCTTGCAGTCGTAAATCTTCCAGGGCCCGGCGGTGGATGTCGAATTTTGGGAGATGGAATAGTTTGCGGTGATGTTGGTGGAGGAGATCGACTTGAAAGCCGAAGAGAACATGTTGTGTCAATTGCGCACCTCGAATTCAAGGCGGGGGCGGTGCTGCGTGTGGAAGCTCGACCTTCATGACGGGACGGCGTACAAAAGGGGGGGCGTCTTCGAACGAGTTGCCAGGTTGCGCCGAGCTGTAGTGGAGATGCGCACGTAGTGTGGAAGGCAAGTCTTTGTTCGTGGGCCGTAGCGACGATGGCTTGAGTGCTTTGTCGGATGTTCTTATGTTGCTGGCGATAAAGACTGTGGGAATGGCTCAGCCGCGTCAATGTCCAGGTGTCCAGGTTGACCTGTCGATGCTGAGGATTGGGGGGGTGGAGGGGAGCAGCACTTCTCAGCAGCCAAGTCCCAAGGTGAGCCAAGGTGAGGTCAGACGCTGGTTGCTGCCTGCACCAGGTTGCATCGCTCACCTCCGGCCTCTAGGTAGCCATCAAGCCATGACCTCTAGGTAGCCCTGGCCTTTCTACCTAGGCCAGCCATGACTGGACCCCAGCTTCATGTAAGTACATGTAGCACGCGGAAAGCGGAGCTCCAACTGGGCGAGACCCTTATTCGGCGAGCTGAGTGCGCTAGCGGCCATGCTTCCACTAAAGCCGAAGAGTTGGTGCCCCAGGGAGCCCTGTAACGAACTGCTGCGTCAGGTCCCTGGTCTGGTAAGGTAAGTGAGGTAAGGTACCTTGCCTTGGGTACCCAGGTATCCAACGGCCCCAGTGGCCCCAGTACCGAAGGCCCCAGGTTCTGCTGCCATTGTCCTCTTGCGCCGCTTTCGGTTGCCGTTGATTGGCCCAGGTGCCAGTGCCCGGCCTGATTAGCTGGTGTAACCCGTACCGCTGGGGCGCCCTTCAGCGACAGAAGATGGAAAACAACGGCTCAAGCCTCCGATGAAGCTCCGACTCTCTCTGACTCTCGTCGACCACAGGAAACTACTTGTGCTGCTGTCCTTCCCACTCGGCATTCCCCCATCAATCTCTACTGTTACCCTTGAACAGTTCCTCTCCTGTCAATTGAGTCATTCAGCCTTCTCGCTGTCTTTTCCTCGCCCGTCCTTTTACTTCCAATCGCTCTCGTCACATCACATCAGGCCCTTCAAATCTTTTTCCACAGCCCAACCGCTGCTATGCTGCGGCAACTGTTCCCGCGCGCCAGCGCCCGGCAGGCCCTGGGTATCGGAAGCTTTCCTACACAGCGCCCGGCGACATGGCAGGCTGCACGCCAGTACAGCGTCAAGCCCGGTGGCGTCTTCTGATGCTAAGCCGCTGGGGCTTCGACGCCTCCAGCTCACGATAGAGAAGACAAAGACACCTTGGCAAGCTCAGCAAGCCGGAGAGCTCGTCTTTGCCGCAAGTTCTCAGGTCAGACTACCAAGACCATCTGCGCTCCTCTCTCTCTCTCTCTCTCTCTCTCTCTCTCTCCGCTGACTGCCTGACTAAGCTTGTACGGCAGACTACATGAAAGAAAAGGGCTGGCTGGCGCCCCAGATCATCCCCTACAGAACCCTCTCGCTCGACCCGGCAACATGCGTGTTCCACTACGCTTTTGAGTGCTTCGAAGGCATGAAGGCGTACAAGGACAAGGCCGGCAAGATCCGCCGCCCCGACAAGAACATGGCCATGGCCCGCCTCAACAAGTCGTCGGCCCGCATCGCGCTGCCGACCTTTGAGCCGACAGCCATGATCGAGCTCATCAGCAAGCTCGTGCGCACCGACGAGCGCTTCATCCCCAGCGAGCGCGGCTACTCCCTCTACCTTCGTCCCACCATGATCGGCACGCAAAAGACGCTCGGCGTCAACGCGCCCGGCTCGGCCCTCCTCTACGTCATCGCCTCGCCCGTCGGCCCCTACTACCCGACGGGCTTCAAGGCCATCACGCTCGAGGCCACCGACTACGCCGTGCGCGCCTGGCCCGGCGGCGTCGGCGACAAGAAGCTTGGCGCCAACTACGCCCCCTGCATCGTGCCCCAGCAGGAGGCCGAGAGCCGCGGCCACCAGCAGAACCTGTGGCTCTTTGGCCAGGAGGAGTTCGTCACCGAGGTCGGTAGTATGAACATGTTTGTCGCCCTCAAGAACAAGGAGACGGGCCAGAATGAGCTCGTCACGGCGCCCCTCGACGGCACCATCCTCGAGGGCGTCACGCGCGACTCGGTGCTGAGCCTCGCCCGCGAGAAGCTCGCCCCCGAGGGCTGGCTTGTCTCCGAGCGCAAGTACACCATGAAGGAGCTCGACGAGGCCGCGCAGGAGGGGCGTCTCATCGAGGCCTTTGGGTCCGGCACCGCCGCCATCATCAGCCCGGTGCGCTCCATCGCCTGGAAGGGCAAGACGGTGAGCTGCGGCCTGTCCGAGGCCGAGGAGTCTGGCGAGGTTGCGCTCAGGATGAAGGGCTGGATCGAGGCGAGGCAGTACGGTGACGAGGAGCATGAGTGGAGCCACGTCGTGGAGGCTTGAGTGGTGTCCATGGACAAAGATAGAGTGAAGAGGTTCCCCTGATTGATTTTTTTTTTGAAGCGAAGATCTGAATTTGTAGATCTAGAGAAGAAGAGAAAGATAAAGTCAATACATGACTAGACTTTTCGCACAACTTTGCACCTTCAATGTCCCCTATTGCCTTTTTTGATGGTACAAGGCTCTGCCGCGAGCATTACGTGGTACAACATGTCAAAGAGAAAAAACCAGGCAGTCGGTGAGATGTATACTATTGACGATCGAGCGTCGTTAATGCAGGTCTAGCCATGCCGAAAACCGTCGAGACTGCGTCTTGCATAGGAAAACCAGACGTCATGTACAATTTACTTCTAGGCTTTCGCCTCTTAGCTCTTCGGTGCTCTTCCTCTGTCTCTCTCTCTCCCTCTCTCCTCTGCTCCCCCTCTAACCGTGACGAAAAATACGAAGAACTGTGGTAGACAGTGACAGATATCCACAGCTTATTTCTTCTCGGGGAAAGGGTCGGGCAGGATGCCCTCCTTTTCTAACCTCCTCCTGGCCTCCTCAAGGGCCCAGGTGTCGAGCCTAGCACATGACACGTTAGCAACAGTTGGTTCCGAAGAAAATTCCCAAATGGCGCAGCATCACTCATCCCACGATACTTCCATCCCCGTCCATCATCTTCAATGCCGCCCAAGCAGCGCATCTCACAAGAGTCTTCCATCGCCAATTGAATCAAGGACCGGAGACAATTTGGGGGGGAAACTTACGAGGTATCAGGCTTGAAAAGCCAGCACCACGCCCAGGGCAACGATGCCGCCGCAGAACAGAGTGTAGAAGGGGACCTCCCAGCCCTCGCGCTCGTACTTCTCGCCGGGCTTGACGCCGAAGAGCCAGCCGGTCGGGGGGTCAAAGTCGTTGCCGCCGCCGGCGCGGCGGGCGGTGACGCTGAAAGGGCCTCGCGGCCATGGCGGGCGCGGGCCTCAGGGCGCGGGTGGCGGCGCGGGCCAGGGCAGCGCTCGGTCGGACCGCCGGCATTGTCGCTGGCGGGGTGGGGTGAAGTTGGCAGGGTTTCGAATCAATCGGCTGTGCGTGTCGTCGTTTGTTGGCGAGGAACCCTCGGGTGGTGGGCGGCGCGGAGGCGTAGGTGGTGGTGGTGGAGCGTTGAGGGCGGTTGAGCGGACGTTGATGAGGTTGGTGGTCGTTGAGCAAGATGTCGACGGTGGAGGTTTGCCGACCGCCCGCGGGTCGGAGAGGATCACGTGATGTGGTCGGCTCCACCCTTGGGTCATCTGCTGCTTCACGCCCCCGTTCTTGGCCATCTCCCTCCAGCAATCAGCTCCTTCAGATGAGCGACGTCGCTAGCAATCGACTAACAGGATGTGGTCAAGTGGCCAAGGATACTTTTGATCGACAACACCTGAGCAGGATTCGTGGGGAGGCTTTGCAGTGGCGCGAATGCCTTCAGTCGCGAACGGCACATACCTGGTCCTCACAATCACCTCAGTCACATCAACTATCACCTTGAGTCGAGGCATGATTCTGATCCACTTGTCAATGCCACGTTGGATATCCCAGTCTGATCCTGGATATTTGTCCAAGCGTCAACATTTCCTCAACTTCTGAGCCACTACTTGATGCCCAACCTCGAATCGACCAGGTTCGCAATGAAGAGATTTGCTGAAATTTCTGATGCCTGCTGTCGGGTTGTTATCATAGTGCAAATTCTTGATGGCCACTGAGCCAGAGCCGGTGCGCGTGATGGCACCGCCGCCCGAAGCATCCCAATATTCGGCTCCGCCATTAGCCCAACCACAGATAGCAAGGGCGCCGACCATGCCCTCGGCCGATGGCCCTAGCACGGAGAGCATTGCCATGGTGGACTTTGCAAAGACGAGGTCAGGCACAGCAAATCTGCCAGCGCCGCCTCAGGAGACCACAGGTCTGCGTCGTCGTTTCAGCATCCGACGAGCCTGGACGCACCATCGAGAGCAGACGATAAACGACCGTAACCGTCTAGAAAGCGCTCTCCTGAACGTCGAATCCGAAGAGCTCTACCGCCAACGAAGGCGAAGCTCGGCTGTTGACATGGAGATGGTTGCTGAGCTCCTGGAGAAGGACCACCTCGATACCGACACCCACGGCATCTCGGAAATCCGCGATGGATGGTTCGACGCCATCTACCTCAAGCAACGGCCCCTCGACTACCAAAGGCTCATGAGACATGCAGAATCTACTCTCCCTGCCGCTTTTGCGAAAGACCCGCCTCTTTCCTTGCACCACTTCCTGCCCAAACAGAGACGTCAACTGCGATCTGTATTCTTCAAGGTCATGACCACGAGGTCGGGCGTCAGGCTCTTCAAAGCTTCTCTCGCCTTCTTCATCGCGTACTGCCTATGTCTTGCCCCGCAGGTGAGGGAGTGGCTGGGCCGTTACAACTACATCATGGTTGTTTCTGTCATCATCAATCACCCTGCCCGGCCAATGGGGCCTCAGCTCGACGGCACCATTCTCACCATTCTCGGCACCATCTCAGGTCTTGCCTGGGGTGTCATTGGCCTCATCCTGTCGTATTCCACCGTGGATGCCCGTACGGGCTATGGTGCTATTCTTGCCCTTTTCTTCTCCATCTTCATTGCCTGTGTTGCATACATCCGAGCCTACTGGACTAGATTTTACCAGTTCTCGATTTCCGCCGGCATTGCCATGTGCTACAGCTGCCTCGCCGAAGTGAACGGCGAACAGGTTAGATATATCAAATTCTGGTCGTACGGCATTCCATGGATTATGGGCCAGGCTATTTCTCTAGTCGTCAACCTCGCGTTCCTCCCCGATGCTGGCTCTCGTGCTCTGGCCGAGACACTTCACGAGGCTTTCCTCATCATGCAAGTTAGTCAATCACACTCCTATTTCTGTCAGCGGTGGTGAACAACCGAGCTAAGACGTGAATACAGGACGCCCTGGAAATTCCCAGACCGCGGAACGTACTCCTCAGGCGGTCCTTGGCCCGCGTCTTCGTGGCAGTTGGCGTCGCATACCGCGACCTCCGCCTCGATGTATCTTTCACGCGATATAACCCCGTCGAGGTCCGTGAGCTGCGCAACCTAATACAGGGTGTCATTCGTTCGATTTTACTGCTCAAGACCGAAACCAGACTGTTCGAGAGCTGGGATGTGCCCGAGGCTGGCATCGTTCCCGTCACAGTCACTGCGTTTGAGGCTGTTGCCACGCATGTTGACGGCTCTACGGAGGCTTCCTCTGGTGATACCAAAACAATGCCGGGAGATGATCCAGACGCATTGCTCCGACTGGTTGCCTTGAAACTGGCCGCGCCTACCGAGGACATGCTGTTGCACATGAGAAGCGTCATTCGCTCATGCGATGCTGCGCTCATGGACATGTCCGGCTACCGCTCGGCTCTGGGACCCCCGAAAGACGAAGCGTACGACGTTGATCAGGCCAAGAATCTTTTACGCCAGGCAATCGACGGTTTTGATCAAGCAGATCAAGAGCTACAGTTGTCGGGCGTCCTACCCGACACACTTCGCATCAAGGAGGTCTCCAACATTCTTGTTTTTGCACATCACATTCGTGGTGCCGCTGGCTCGATAGACACTTTGGGTGTACACGTCAACGATATGAAGCAGAGCGCGGGACGGCCCAAGTTCTACCTTCCGACATACTCTCTCCACAAGGCCATCAACTACGCCAATGCGCAGATCAGACGAGACCGCGGAGGCGTGTCGGCCAGTATGAACCCAAAGCCTCCAGCTCGCACGCAATGTTCTGACCTCTCTAGGCAACGTCAAGATGACTTTTGACGACATTACAACACTAATCGAAGCCATTCAGTCTAGGGAACACCGGCCTGCTCCGAGGTCAAGAAAGAGCTCCATATCAGGTGCGACAACTCCGCTGGAGAGGTCACCGACCACCATGGAGGCCGAGGAGATGCCCAAACCAGAAGCGAAACACAACAAGTTTGGATACCAGATCTGGCGCATCCTGCATCGGCTGCAGGGATTCGAGAGCAAGTATGCGCTCAAAGTCTGCATGCTCACTGCGTTGCTGGCCATTCCAGCCTGGCTCGAGAAGAGTCGAAGCTGGTGGAACCTAGAGGAGTCCTGGTGGGCGGTCGTCATGGCATGGGTCATGGTTCATCCGAGGTGAGGACCAGACCAGCGTGAGTAGACGTTCTCGTTCCGCTGACAAGAATATTTTCCCAGGATCGGTGGCAACATGCAGGATCTTCTTATGCGAGCACTCTGCGTCACCCTCGGGGCTGTCTGGGCTGGGATCGCGTATGCTGCGCGCGACGGTAACCCCTATGTCATGGCCGTCTTTGCCCTCATCTACATGCTACCAATGCTTTATCGCTTTACCCAAAGCTCCCATCCGGTCAGTATGACTGCTTCTTGGCTCACGGCGGGGCTTGAACTGATTTTTATAGCGTTCTGGCATTGCCGGATGTCTGTCTTTCAGCGTCATCTCCCTGGCACTCGTCACGGCTGATGAGCATCAATCCGCCGCTCGAATGGCTGCAACACGCGGACTGGCGTTTCTTGTTGGCACTGTCAGCGCCGTCATGATAAACTGGATTCTATGGCCGTTCGTCTCGCGCCATGAACTTCGAAAGGCTCTGTCCTCCATGCTGTTCTTCCAATCTGTTCTCTACAGAGGTACAGAATGGTCATGTCACGCCTTGTGTTTCGAACCCACTAACGTGCCTTAGGTGTGTTGTCCAAATATGTCTATTACGAAGAACAGAAACAGCCCACAAAGCAAGACATTGAACGTTCAGAGATGCTCGAGGGTCGTCTCCGTGAGGGCTTCGTCCGAATCCGCCAGCTCCTCATCATGACACGGCACGAGCTCCGCCTCCGTAGCCCTTTCGACCCGCTGCCCTATTCAGCGCTTGCCGACGCTTGTGAGAATTTCTTTGAGCATCTCATCGCTGTGCGCCAGGCTGCGCTCAACTACGACCCCGGCTATGTTCGCGACAATGACGCGGCAGCTGAGAAACTACTATCTTACCGGCGTGATGCTGTGGCTTGTATCCTGAGCAACTTGTACATCCTCGCTGGGGCTCTCAAGTCTGACCGCAAGGTACCTGTAAGCATTCCCGTCTTCCCCGCCACAGGGCAGCAAGATTTCTGATATGTGACAGCGGTATCTCCCCAGCGCAGCTGTGGCCCGCAAACGGCTCCTCGACAGAATGGCCGAGATTGAAGCCGAAGAGCTCGCCGCGCACAAGATGCATAGAAAATCAACGGAACTACACGTCTCACTCGCATCCAATGGGAAATGGGCCCAGGTCTATGGCTTTGCTTTTAACGAGAGCTTGACGGGCTGTGTCGCGCAGTTGGAGGAGCTGGAGCGTTATACAAAACTCATCGTTGGCGAGCAAGGGTTTGATGACGAGTTCAGAGGCGACGACTCTGACACATCGGACGAAGAGGAGGACGAAAGGATACCCCATCACAAGTGAACCGATGATGCAAAGCGAGAGAGCGCTGCGTACCAGAGTATAATTCAAATGCCCAAGTCAGCCCAGTTACCGCATGGCTAACCTCGTCTTCCCGCTCGTGATCGCAAAGACAAAACCCGGAGAACACCTCGCCATGAAACAAGCCACCTCTCATCCCGCGAAACTAAACAGCTTGCCCAGCAGCTTGAACCCGGCCTCATCCTCTCCCGCCCAAAGATCCATGGCCGCTACGCCCGTCACCACAAACATGTCCATGTCCACGGTCCCCGGCGGCACGTACAGCGAAAACGTAGGCCGCGGCCCCGCGGCCCTGCCGTCCGGATACATCGCATACCGGCCGAGCACCCTCTCAGTGGCGGCGTCCCGAAACGACAGCTTGCGCGGGGACAGCGTCTCGGCGTCCTTGCCCCACGTGAACCGCGCGCCGCCGCCGGGCGAGGCAAACACCTGCTTGCGCGCGGGGTAGTCTTCGGCGACGAGCTGCATCTTGAAGAGGGGCCCGCCGCGCAGGGTCACGTCCGTGGCCGCCGAGAGCGAGTGGTGCCGGAACGTGCCGGCCGGGGGCGCGTTCGGGCCCGCCGAGGCGTAGAGCACGGCGGCCGTCTTCTGGCCCGGCGTCTTGTGCAGGACGTAGGCTGGCGTTGCCTGGCCTGTTTGGGGGTTCAGGCGGTCGATGGTCGTCTGGGCGCCGCCGTGGCGGGAGGCGACGATGAAGGTTTCGTAGGGGGTGTGTGCGTCCATTGTTGTTGTTTGGTGAAACGTTTGGGGGGTTTGTTACGTGTCGTCAGTACGGGCTGCTTGCGCTCACTTCATCGCGGCGATGGAG